TAGCTTTTTCGAGAGCATCCGAGCAAATGAATGAATGGAAAACCATGATCGCCGATGTCTGTCGCAGATCTGGCACTGGATGATGATAATGATGAATCGTTTTGCAAATGATATCTGACACCAAAATATGTGTTCATGGCGGTCCCTTTGATGAACCATTATCATGAAAGTCCCTCGTCAAAATTCTATGACTATGCCCCCATACAAATAACCTCCTCTGCCCCCATTATAACAACACTGAAAGTGCCATTATATTCAGGGGCGGTTTGTTAAGTGGGCAAGACCGGCGGTGCCGGTCAAATTTTTGTCAGCTAGACTGTTGACAAGATATTTATTGCTGCTGATGATTTTCATTCAGTTTTAAATAAATCCTAATAAACCTGTATCGACATTCAAAAAGCACCTTGCCGATTTGAAGGCCTTCAAATAGACAAGTGGGATTCACTGCTGTTTTGTCGCGACAGAGCCTCATACCTTCACCTTTGTTTATCGCACCGGCTCGTAACTTTAAATCGTCTCCCGTCAAGCCGTCACGTCGCGGATTTTCGTACGTTGACAAACGAACACAGCGAGTACAGCGATGACGTCAGTCCTATTGACAAATCCATTGACTGCCCTGAGAGCGCATATAGCATCCCTTGATTGCCAAATTGGCCTCCGTGTTGCTTACAAAATCAGTAATGAGACTGTCTTGAGTCTTGAGCAGCACAGACTCTTGCAACATTTTATCAGCAATACATGTACTATTATTCATCCTTTCTGTTACTATCATCAGAACATTTATTGTCAGCATAGCACCAATTCAATTTTTTTGTGTATTGAATTTTTAGCCACCTATTGTTCCTGTTTGGTGACTATTCATCGCTTTCTCCCCACTAATAACATACCTGGCCCATATAACTCTAGCCGGCGAAAAGAGGAATCGTCTAGTGAAGATAATATATAAGGAGAATTATAACAAGGAGCGATAGGCTCTCGGCTGTCAGGGTCTGGGCCGAAAACAATGGGCCTACCCTCTCCCTTCCTTCCCCTTATCCACCGTCACCCCAGCTAGATACCAAGTTCTATAATTAGCATTTGACACACTTCCCCACTTTGTTATAACAGTGTTCTGAGAACTGAGAAGTGTGATGAAGAACGTTTGATTACATAATGATGGAAAACTGTTGTGAGCTGACTTTGTCCAGCTTTGTATAGTATCTGATTGTAGACTTAATCTGCATGGGACAGCGTCATTGGTACAGTATCGATTGACTTTTTGCCATCATACAGTACTGTTCTTATTACATATTTACAGGTCGAGTGCACGTCAATATTGTGTGTGTGGGGGGGGGGGGGGTGTAGAAAGTAAATAAGTCTTTGGTTAAAGTACCGGAGGCCATGACCAGCAGTTTATTGCGCTTCTCACTTTCAGTTTGTTTTCTAGCATAGACTCTAGAGTGTTTCTTTTTCTATGCCGTTCAAGTCAGTTTCTATTAACTCAGTATCTTTCATCATACATTAATCATAATATTGTTTCTTGACACTACCATATTTCAGCTCTTTCACATTATATTAAAATGTTTACAGTGGGGTGTGTGTGAGTGTGAGAGGGGGTGGGGATGGCGAAAGTAGAGTTACAAAATGAGGAGAGAGAGAGAGAGAAAGAGAGAGAGAGAGAGAGAGAGAGAGAGAGAGATAATGTTTTTGTGTGTGTGAGTGTGTGTGTGTGTGTGTGTGTGTGAGTGTGTGTGTGTGTGTGTGTGTGTGTGTGTGTGTGTGTGTGTGTGTGTGTGTTGTGAAGGAAGGGGGTGGGGGGAGGAAGAAAGAGTCTATGTGAATGATGGCCGGTCAGTTCTATAAATGTTAATGGCTCTATTATAAAAATACAACGTACCCCAGACGAAAATCGCCCTCACAGAAGCATAGATGCTAGATGAAGGTTTTTAACTTGCCCTGGTTACATCCAGGTCAACCGGAAGTGCTAGTTTTACTATCCATGACCTTAGACCTCTTGAGTTATAACCTTAGTAAATGCTAAAGATGGCGGAAAGAATCAATAACTTACCTCGGTTCGCAACTTTCATGAAGCACTGTGATCAAACAAAGACGTAAACAGCAAGCCGACCGACATAAAATGGAAGAAGGATGAAAGCCACGCCTTCGCGAATAGGTTAAACCACGAAATTGGTTTTCCATTTCACCACATAAACGAAACAAGCGACGGGTGGTTCATATTGGGTAATGGTTCGTATGGGGTCCAACCACTCTAGATATCTAGATTCTAGATCTAGATCTAGATTCGATATATATTTTTAATTCTGTTTAGATCTAAATAAGAAACACACTACAGAGGCACTAAGTTCAAGCGGGACCGCAATCAGGAGTGTCCGAGTTATAACGCAGGCTTTCATTCATGGTGAATACAAAGGCGTGTTTTGAAACACATTTTCACTGAATAATACGCCATTTAGGTTTTATCTACTCATCCACAAACTGACTTACCTTTCAGCGTCTGGTTTTTTTTTAATTAGTGCAGTTTGTTGCGGCACACCATTACATTGTGTGTTCTTAGAATCAGCCATGTTTGTTTGAGTTTACCGTCCCAGTTGCCTCGGGATTTGTCAGATTCGCGGTCTGGCCCAGGCTGTACTGTCTCGCTTACGTTGCAAGGTCTCTGGTTATATACGGTAGCGGTGCGTTGTGAGCGGCTAAATGTCTTTTAACCCCCCCCCCCCCCCCCCCACACACACACACCTACCCATCTATCCCTAAGAAAATGATCGTTTCTTAAATATCAAAATAAGCAGTTGAAACCGTTATGGTGGCACGCACTGAATACAGAATGATCAACCTTGCGGCTTGCTCGTTTATCCAATCACTGTTGCTACCGCTTACAACAATAGTAACCTTGACCTTGACCATTAATGATTTATTTATAGAGGCACCAGCCATCCATGTCTAGGTGCTGTTTTAGCCTCTTTTTCCTGTATGCGGATTAATAATATCTTTTTGCCAAAATATTGTTTCTGCTTCTATGTACCCCATATATATGGTTCTCAACCTGGAAATCGCCTATAATTCGCTGTAATTGCCCCCCCCCCCTTTCCCCTACCATTTCTCATCATCCCCCCCCCCCCCGTTATAGTGTCATCATTTATGTTACCGTCTATTTTTATCGGTAACACGTGGATTAAGGGCAGTATTAATGATAATTAAGGAAAAAACAAACAAACAAAACAAAAACAAAAAAACCATCAATTAAATAACAAATAAATAAATAAATAAATAAATAAATAAATAAATAAATAAATAAATAAATAAATAAATAATGCTAAGGATTATCATAATACAAATATTGATAACCTAACAGCACACCAAATGGCTTTAGCGCTCAGCAAAGCATTAGCTCGGACCCACGATCCACCCCTTAGAGAAACTATTCTTGGGGAAAGTTAAAAGTTTGAAAAAAAATAATAACTCTGTACTGAGCCCTGACAATGGGGTGAACGTTGGCGACACATTTCCCCTCAGTGACACAGGCCATTTCAATCACTGCACAGCTTATTTCAGTTCTTAGACGGAATACGTTTGAAATGCTTTGTGTGTATGCTTATGTTTGTGGCGATGAAATTTACTAGTTATAAACCACTCTTAGAGCGATATTTTCATCTGCTAAAATTAGAGGAAAAAGTCAGAGGTGAAACGACTTCGTCTCCATCATGCAGGATAATTTTAAACTTAGAACAAAGAGATGGAAGGCGAAAGCAACTGTTTTCGCCCGAGTGAGTCTCAGAATGTGTGGCTCACCGTGAGCATAGAAAAATCATTGATGCTTTATTTTCTGAAGAAGTCTAAGCCCCACCCAAATATTGATCCACCCACCACCACTCATGATTTCTCCTTTGTTTTTTTTTTTTTTAATTTTATAATGTTGGTTTATTTTACACACCCACCGACAGAGTTTGTGTCACGGCACGGTGAAGTCAGGCACATGTCAATTTTGGACATGTTATTATGGAATTATTGTCATAACCTTGTTCAATCGTTTGGTTTTTTAAAGAGAAAAAAATAACCATCTCTTTAGAAAAGAAGTCCAGATATTTGCAATTGAAAGAGATAGGGGTTGTCTTGTGTCTGAGGTATATAAGCAAGACAATGGCCGTCAAATGTTTGGTGACATCCACGACTTAGATGTTCTTGAAAACTAAAAGCATATAATTTTTGTGTCGTTGATCAACGGTTTCAGTAAAATCAAGACAGAAAATGGATATGACAGGTGTTGAGAGGGGGGGGGGGGGAAATTTACGACAATTGCCTATGCAAGGGAAAAAAATGTCTGTTTTTTCCATTTCATTATTGTTTCATGCGCCTGATTTCACAACTATACTAGACATTTCGATTATTCAGGAGGGAGGCTAAGAAGCTGCCCGTCAGGGACTACCCGGGCTAAGAGGGATTCAACGTCCAAGCAGAAAGATCGAGATACTCAAATACAATGTCCCCGCACGGCAATCGAACTCGAATCTTTTGCATACGGCGACGAAGCGCCTAGCAGCTACACGATAGACACCGCTTCAGTTAGGTCGTATTCCCCTTTCAACACCACGACGCAGGCATTTCTTCCAGATCAGATGGGACAAAATGGAGAGTCGAATAACAGAAATAAAAGACGTTACCCCCCCCCCCCCCCCCTCCCCCAAAATTAAAAGAAAGATTAAGAAAAGAAAAACCACCCCCAAAAACTGACTCTAACTAAGACCAAACCAGCTTACTCTATGAGTGTCAGCGACTTCTTTGATAAGCAGGTATTTCGAGAAATCCTCATTGCTCACTTCCACGTCTGTATAGCGATACAGCGCTGTCACATAGTAAGTATGGTACGCATCCTCCAGAGTTCGGAAAGGGGCCAACAGGAAGTAACGCCCGTGACAAGCCATGCACCTCATCACGGCTGTAGATGTAATGAGAGTAAAGAGAGCAGGCGTTTAGATGCACAAAAACGGCTGGCCAGTGAGCTGTGAGAAAAGAGAGGCATTCAAATGCAAAGTGGTCATTAATGTACACGAGTCACAAAATGAAAACCTGTGAGTTTGAGTAAAAAGAGGTGTTTAGACCCCCAAAAAAGACGACCCCCCCCCCCCCCAATCAACGGCCGTCTTGTTTCTGGTGTGGAACGAGACGCATAATTTTAGACTAAACAACGGTCACCTGTGAGTTTTAGTAAAGAAAAGCACTTCGGTAAAACAATGTCATTTAATGAGTCGAGTAAAGAGGGGCAATTATATACAATAACGGTACTCCATGAGTTTGATTGTTGTTGTCGTTGTCGTTGCTGTCGTTGCTGTCATTGTCGTTGTCGTTGTCGTTGCTGTTGTTGTTGTTGTTGT